AAAAAAAAAAAAAAAAGATTCAAACCTATCTATTTTGTGCTCATTTGAAGCTTTGCTGGACATGGATCGACAGCCATGATTTGGCGCAGTTCAAAGATTCACTGCAGTTGGTTCCAAGACACATGCGTTCTTAAGTTATGCAAAACAGTTGTAGAAACTCCAATCGTTTTATTTTGGTGCTAGAATTTTTTAAAATTTATTTTTATCCACAAAAATTATGCAAGAAGGAATTTCACCGCAGACCCGTGTAATTTGGGTACTCCCCTCTATAGAGCCATTAACCACCAGAAGAGGCCTTGCTTAAACTAGCTGTCTGACAAAACTTCCTTCCAGAATGCAAACGTATCAATAACTTCCTGAGATATCACCACAATATCCTCTAGATGTCACCTTGAGAACATTCCAGGATGGAAGATGACTGCTTTCGCACCACACAGACAACATGAAATAGACCCATTTAAGACTCTGTATGCCCAGATCAATGGTTTAATTAAAACAAACAAAAAAATTTTTTTGCCAATTAACTCGAAAATTAAGTAGTGCTCCAAATTAAGTTTAATTCATAAAATGATCTAATTTCTCTTTCTGGCAGATTTTTTTTTATGACTTCTCCCATCAACAGAAACAAAAACAAAGACCTTCCTTTAAGAAGTAATTCTCATGGATTCTGATTTCTCTTGAATCTTTCTCCCAAAGATCCTCCCCCAAACATTTTCCATTTTCTAAGGCTGCTCATCTCATTACCCCAAGCATCTGAGGGAGGAGAGTACAGCAAAGTTTAAAGGCAGAAATTAGTTATTCCTTGATTGGTAAGAGCATTTAATTGGGAACGATTACGCAATCGATTGTTTCTCTTTAATATGCCAAGTCAATAGCAGGCCAATAACTGACTCATTTGGTCATGCAGTTCATTCAAACCAAATGAGCTGTCAGGTACTTCATTAAAAATTTTAAACACCTGAGTGCATGAAATCAATCTGGAGTGGGGAGGAAATAAAGGAAGCCTTTTACAAGTGACTTCAGGCAGATCTGGATTATCTCGGGTGTTATTTCCCTTCATACAGGCAGACTTAGACTTAGCCTGGGGGTCTGATTTTCAAAAATTACAGAAAAACCTTGGGAAATCATTTTCTTGTAAAGAAAATAGTGTATATAATAGAGAAGGTCTGCAGAGTCAGTCCCATAGTATTTCCAAGGGGCTCCTTCCTGATCCCTCCAGAATAAGAGACTCTCAGAGACAAGGAACAGTGAGCTGCAGAGACATGGAGAGTAAGACCTAAGAAACCCCAATACTACAAGGCCTTGTGGCTTGCTGGAGGCCCAGGACGCCACCAAGTCCGCTGAGGACAGTTGCTGACACTCCCCTTTGGACCCTGGGGCAGTGATTGAAATGTGCTCTACATTTAGGACTGGATAACCTCCCGGACTGCATGTGGGGGCTGGGAGCGGCCAGAGAAAGCAAACAGAAAAATCACCTGTGGTGGAGGGCTCAAGAGTTCTTTAGAAAGAACCTTCATTCTAGCTGTTGCATGAGGAATTACCTCTTGATACAAACACAGCGCCCCTTTAGAGATCTGTATTCTTGTTATGGGAAGAAAAGGAAAAAAAGAGAGGGAGAAAGATGCTTATTAACCTTATAATAAGAATACATGCTGCAAGCATCTTCTTTCAGGGTTAACTGCCAACTTTTTTCCGAAATATGCATAAAGATAATTTTAAAAATAGGGGGAGAGACCTTACTTGTGCAACATTCCCAAATTATACTATTCAGGAAATATTAGCAATTATATATGTATTGATGCAGAAAAATTACATGTTAAGCAAAATTCCCTAATAAAAAAATTGGCTCCGTATTTCAAAACATGTTTATAAATTAGAGATGTCCTCTGACACCGTCTTACATCCTGCTAGGTGAAGCGTTATCAGAGGTAATTCTAAATTCCTAAAATTGAAATTCAAGTTTCCCTTAAAATAAAATTTTTATTTTATTTTATTTATTTATTTTATTTTTTTTTTTAAAGATTTTATTTATTTATTTGACAGAGAGAGAGAGAATACAAGTAGGCAGAGGGAGAGGGAGAAGCAGGCTCCCCGCAGAGCAGGGAGCCCGATGCGGGACTCGATCCAGGGACTCCAGGACCATGACCTGAGCCGAAGGCAGCTGCTTAACCGACTGAGCCACCCAGGCGCCCTAAAATAAAATTTGTAACAGTAGAACTACATCTCATGAGAAATTTATAGTAAAAAAAATCACGTACACCGTGCGCTGTCTTGACTATGCACACACAGGTTAGGACAGTGATTCCCAGGGGTACGTCAGGTCTGGCTGTTTCTCTTAGAATCTCTCCTAGTACTGATGGCTTCCCATTTTCATCTGATCTTTCTGCCGCCCTAATGACAAGCATTCATAAATAAGCAGTTACATACAATTATTAATTAATGATTATGTGCAAAGCACGGAAGGGAACTGGTCCCCACCTAAGCAGTAACAGGAACAGGTCATTTTTATGAAGCACGGTTATAAATAATTTTTTTAACCTGAACTGCCAATCATCTCTTTGCTCTCAAGATCCAAACTAAAGAAAGAAACCAAACAAGGTTTTATAATAAATCTTTCGCTTTAAAATCATTTACTAGAAAATAGAAGAAGTCAAGAGGGAATGAACAGAAATGATTCCCAGAATTAATCTTCTTATACTCACATTCTACCTAGCATCCTCTGAAAGGGAACCCTTTAGGGTTCAGGCAGCCAAAACAGGTGAGATAAATGGCTGTTTCTAAACCAGGAAAAGGGGGAGGACTGCGTCTTTGGTTTTCAAAGTGAGCCTCCATCTCTAATAGGGGGGCTGACTCCCCTTCCCTAAGGAGTTAAAACTAGCTCCGCCCCCTCCCCCAAGCCCCTCATCTTACAGATATAATCTCTGAAAGAGCAAGAGGTTTGTGGGATGGCCATGTTAGCTCAGCACTCAATACTCAGGTATGCTTTAAGCTGTCCTGTCTATGGGGTTAAAAGAATAAGTCAAGGAAGAAAATCTGTATACAACCAAGAATCAAGATCTGTCAGACTGGTCAATGAGGAAAGAGAAGGGACTCAACATGAAATCAAACCAGGTCAACACAAGCATATTAAAGACATTCAGCAGGACAAAAAGTATTTCTCACAATCCTAAAGGCACTCTCGACATTTAATCCAATCCCGAGGGAAGGCCATAAAAGTAGTCTGGGAAGCAATGGGAAGGCTCAGACGTGCTTCTGGCTTGACACGCAAAGCTCTCCAGGCAGAACACAACCCACGGGAACAGGGAAGGTGGCAGCCTTTGCCCGAATCACAGCAAAGCAGGCACTGTGACATTAACCTTGCACTACCTGGGAGACATTTCATCTGTGAGGTTTGTTGTCACCAGGACAGAAGAGTATTTCAATGGAAGGCAGTGACCCTGTAAGGGTCATCATCAATCACCTGGGGTCAAAGACCTTCTCGATTGTCAGAAGAGGCAGGGGGTGAGGGAAAGAGGGCAGAGAACAGATCAAAAGGCCTTTGATGGGAGTTATCTACCTACACAACAGAACCTGCAAAATGGAACTTCTCTGGAGTTCAAAACCCCCTAGTTTATAAGGTGAGAGATTTCAAGAGGGGTCTTTGTTTTTTTACACCTGGATGCATAAGATGAAGACTGGAGTCAGCAGATGGCAGAAGAGGCCTAGAGGCAAAGGTTTACGTGGCTGCCAGTTTCAAGGTCTGTCCCCAGAGTATTAATACTATTTTCTTCTAGAGCAAGCACTGAAAGGGAGGGAAGACCCTGCCAACAGTGCAGCTGCCAAATGGCAAAGTGGTTCAGCTTGAACCGCCTTGCAATACTGTATTTTATTTTATTTATTTTTGAGAGAGTGTGCGTGCACAGGGGGAGGGGCAGAGGGAGGGAGGGAATCTTAAGCAGGTTCCACGCCCAGCGCAGAGCCCAACATGGGGCTCGATCTCATTACCCTAACCAAAACCAAGAGTTGGATGCTTAACCAACTGAGCCACCCAGGTGCCCCGCAATACAGTATTTCAGTTGCTGATGCAAATACACTTACTTCTTTTCTCTTTGTAGAAGGCAATACAGAGAGGTTGGGAAATAAAGTTAAGCCTCTTTACGCCAATGACAATGGAAAACCAGTCAGGATCTGTGGGATATTTTCTATCAGTGATGCCATATATCTTGCTACTGTTTCCCTTGCTTCATGAGCCTTAGATGATTGAAGGAGCAGCTGGATAGGACTACCTGTCAGAGTGGTGTATGACTCAACTCCATTGGGTACAGAGTGAGAGGAAGGGAAGAGGCATCTTTAAGAAAGAGGCAGTAAAGGAGGACTCCACTAAACCCTTGGTTACCCGCCTGATAGACTTTTCTGGGGTATATTCAAGGACAATCATTAATCCCAAGTAGGCTCTGTCCCGTCCCCAGGATGCCTTTTCCTTTTAACTGGTGAGCAGAGTTACTTCAAGACAACAAACAAAATGAGCCTTTTATTTATTTATTTTTTTAAAGATTTTATGTATTTATTTGACAGAGAGAGACACAGCGAGAAAGGGAACACAAGCAGGGGGAGCGGGAGAGGGAGAAGCAGGCTTCCCGAGGAGCAGGGAGCCGGACGTGGGGCTCAATCCCAGCACCCTGGGATCACGACCTGAGCCCAAGGCAGACGCTTAACGACTGAGCAACCCAGGTGCCCCAATATTAGCCTTTTAAAAAACCCACGGAGGATATTTATAAAAAATAATTATTTTAAGAAATAAAACATACTAAAGAGCAATATAAATGGCTTTCAGATTATGGGCTGTTTTGATTAGCCATGCCCTGGATGCCTCCAGCCTACTCCCATCAGCATGGATAATTGAGAATCTGCCGCATTTCCACTGTAATGCAGTCTCCCTAATCCTTTTCAGGCATGCAGATGGAAAACCAAACCTTCTGGCTGCTGTTTCACCTCACATGGATTCAGCACACAGCACTAACCTCTGTACAGTCCAAAGAAGCCTTCGTAGCGTAGCACCTTCTTAAAACAGTCAAAGCTGTTTTTATACATAAGTTCTCCCACAAAAGAGCCCGTTGATCGTTGGTTCTGCATCCGAGTTTTTACGAGATCGATAGGATACACAGCAGTGGCTCCAACAGCTAAAATCAGACCATACCACTGGTCAACGTCAAAGAGAAGCCTGATGAAGCAGAGGAACAAACTGGGCATGTACAGACTGTCAAACGGCACGAACTTTCCTAATAAACAACTGGATTTTCATCCAAGTGTCTCCTGATAAAATGATGTCCCAGACAGTTCAAATGTACAAAAACACATCACCTACAGCCTAACTGCGTTGTTCACCCATCTTAAAAAAGCCTATCTGCAGCTAAGTGAAAAAGGCCCTGACCGCAGGCAGGTATGGGGGACGTTCCCTTTGCTCTTGTCCCATCCCAGAGGTGCACACGGGACATGCGCTTGGAAAGACCAAGGAAGGCTCTGTCCATTAATACTGTAAGGTGGAAAATCAAAGGAAAAAATCAGAGGAATGATAAAAGTGAAAAATTTGCACTCATCCATGACTAACCTCCAGCAATGGAACCCAGCCCAAACCTGTAGGCCGACTCCGCAACCTGCAGGAGAACCGGTCGGGAGGAGTCCACTGAGGCCTTCTTCTTTGCACACACAGGAGTCGGGGCGGGGGGGAGGGGGCAGGAGACAGAAAGAAGGACAGAACAGAAATGAGCACATATGATTTTTTTAAATTGCCCCCTGGGTTCCAAATTCATGATACCAACTAACATAACAAAGAGGAAGGCAGGGTTAGATTCTGTTGTTCTTATTAAGAAAAAGTTATTATTATTGTTAATGCTGCAAATCAAATCTGAACATAATGAAAACCATTATGTACTCCCCCAAAAACGTTATGAACCTATTTTCAACTGTTTAATTCTTGGCAGTGATTAGGGAGATCCAAACTTAAAAACATTAATAAGACATCATTCTTCTTCAAGCAAACTGGGAGGTTTGGGGGTTTTTTGTTTATTCATTTTAGTCAAGTGTCGTTGACCTACAATATACTAGTTTCAGGTGTAAAACAAAGTGTTTCAACATTGAGGTACTCTGTGAAGTGTTCACCATGATAAATCTAACTACCATCTGTCACCATAGTTTGTTTTCTAATGGCAACACCCAGCCGGGCAAGAGTTGATAAAAATTGGGGCTTCTCAAACCTGCCATTTAATCTAGTATAAACTTGAAGGAAAACTTGGTAATATACACCCAAACTCTTGTACATAACCTCTGCCCCGCAGAGCTACTTATAAAAAATGAGACTAGAAAATAATCATGTATGTGGACGTGGATCAACCTATGAATGTTAAAAAGCAATACTGTTTAAGAGCAAAAACTCTGAAAGTAACCTAAACGTCCAATAATAGAGGCCTGGTTAACAACGCTTCACCCTTGGGATGCTTGACTGGCTCATTCCATAAAGTATGCGACTCTTGATCTTAGGGTCGTGAGTTCGAGTCCCACGGTGGGTATGGAGATTACTTAAATAAATGAATAAACATTAAAAAAACGCTACAGCCTTAAAATGAAATCATATGTCATTGTAAAAGAATTATTTGATGTTAAGACAAATGTTCATAAGGGCTTATAAAGTGAAAACAGGTTAAAAGGAATATGGCAGGTAGACAGGTATTCATGATACCTTTATAAATGTTTGAAATATTTCATGATAATCTTTTAAGAACAATGTTAAAGACTGTGTGCAATATGATGTTGTTTTTAATTAAAATTATTTGTGGGCATATGTATGCATATAAAAACATACTAACATTTTGGCTATTCCAACACCTAGAGATAACTCAAAACATTTACAGTGGTTACAACTAGGTGGTTGTATTACAAGTAATTGTTACTTTCTCCTCTTTCCTATCCACTTTTTTCTAAATTCATACTTCACGCCAGTCAGTTGTTATTTTATTTTTCTTTTGACCTACTATCCTTACTGTGCTTTTGATGCCAGAACATCTCAGAGTAGTGCATTTTTCTGCTCTACATAAATAAAACAGTAATTTTATGTCACGCAAAGTTGTCAAATGAGGGTGATAGTTAATGCTTAACAGTACCTGTTGAATGAATACATTCAATAAAGTTTGTTTTTTCAAAAGCCATAATAATTAAAATAGGTGAACAATGAAAATAATTACCAACCCCAGCTATCAACCCACTGAATTTTAGTTGCTGTCAATCTTACACAATTCTAACAGAATGAGATAATTTGGACTCTCCTGTGAAGTTACTTCACTGAAAATAGCTTTACATAGAAATATGCATCTTTAGAATGTAAAGCATGTCTTCTGCAAATTTCATGGGGTTTTTCCAACTCTATCTCTGCATAGACGGAAATCACAAGTAACCTCATTTTGACAAATGCATCCTTAAGAAAGGCACTACTTTTTTTATATGGATATAAATATGTAAGACTTAGATTCTGGCATCAAAATAATGAGTGAAAGTACTTTGAAAATAACGGGGGGAGGGCGCACAGTGGACCTAACCGCTATCACTAACTCTTAATGGAAAAGACAAAATAAATGCAGTCCCAGATTTTCATTTAACTTTTCTGAAGCTCAAAGTGTAGCATGCTCATGAGACAAGAAAGATTCCCATTCCTGCACAACTCTGTTGAGGATCCACGCTAGCACGGAGCCTACCAGGTGGATGACCTCCATTGCCTGAGTCCGTCAGTGTTGTCAGGCCTACTGGCGTTTACATAGGAAAGAATATTCCAGGCAAGGCTGCTGTGAATCGCTCTCAACCTCTCAGCCGCAGCCAATCATTTCCTGCTGTAAATCTCATCTGACCCTTGCGTGGCCAGAATCAATGAGCACCCACCATAAACTCTCAAAAGTTGCAGAGAGCAGGAAGGAAAAACTGTGGGCTACCACTGCCAGCTGGAGAACAGAAGGAATCTTTTAAAAACAAAACAAAACACCCCTCTGCTTTTTCTTAATTCCCAAATTTCTACGACAGCTAGTTGCACAGAGACGAAGAGCTAAGCGTCTGGTAAGCAGCGTTTAAAAATCAAAGGGCGGAGAGCAATGGAGCTGCGACCTCGCACGTGACCACACAGTGCGCTCTCCTGCACTCGGGGACATCGGCTCCCTCTTGTAACAGCCAGCCGGCATTCCAGAGGTGCCTCGTTCGGGTTTCCTGAGCACACACCCACCACTCTGAGCTACGCGCTGCACACAAAACTCGCCGCTGCATTCGGGGGGTGTGGGGAGAGCTGAAAGGAGGGGTGCTGGCTCGAGGCCTGCCCGTCCTAAAAATGTAGGCCGCATCAACCCATTGTGGTCAAACTGGCGTCTCTGTGCAGACTCGGAGCTCCAAGCCAAAAACTGTTAAGTCTCACAGGATTCAGGGGTGGCTTTGCCTTAAAGGAGGTATTTTTCTACAATGACGCTCGTCTGTGACTGGATTTACTTTACAAACATCGTGTAAGCACAACACATGCTATGAAAGCTTTTATTCTCTAATCCTGACCCACAGCAAGTCGAGCAGGAGTTAAGTGAGGAGGTCCCATGTCTTAAGTTTCTGACCCTCATGACTTCACGAGATTGGTTTCTGTTAACCATAAAATAAAAGTTAGCATTCCTCAAATTGTTTCCACATAACTTATGAATCCTTTCACAGAGAAAAGAAGTCTAAAAGCCTTCAAACTATTACTCCAGACTAAACAAAATTATCTCATTTTGATATTCAGAAAAACGGAAGGCGCGGCAGTCACACAATGAGCTGATGAAGTACCTCTCTGTGGAGCCGAGAAGGCTTTCGGTCAGCAACGTGCCGCCGCGCTGGGACAGCGACACCAAAACACGGCGCCTGGCCCACCATCCCCCAGCACCAGAGTTAGGGAAGAAGAAAAGATCTTCTGCCTATTTTGGCACGGGGGGTGGGGGGGGCAGGCTTCCAGTGCAGTTAGGAAATCACCCCATCCTTGAAAGTAACAAGCAACTATCTGTCAATCAGAACATCTCTAACTAATTTCTCTTTGCAGCCTTTTGAAATTGTCTGGATTTTTGGTGCAAAATGTTACAATGGCAGGTCAGATACCAGTGCCAAAAAGGCAACTGCGAGTAGAAAAGGTTTGGGGGTACCCTACTGAAGAAACATCAGGAAGCAAGTTTGTTCCTTTTGCCCACCTGCTTCTGGGCCTCAGCCAAGTTGAAGGGCAGAGTTCCCTCTTCCAGTGGAGCAATTCGTTCAATGTCTGCTAAGGTCATACGTCTGAAGGGGAAAAAAACAAGCATGAGCAACAACAAAACACTAGTTTATTAAAATTTGCAATATGGAATTTGAAAACATTCCCGTTTTTGTTCCCCTATTTCAGAGTCCTCTTTTATTTGGCTTCTTTTTCTCCCACTGTGCTGCCCTCCTCCTACCCCCACCCCCTCCATCCCCTAACCTCCTTTTATTAAGCTAATTAGAAAAAAAAAAAAAAAAAAAAAGGCCAACTTACCCCCGTGGCTCATATAAATCTGCTAACTGAAACAAGATGTCAACTTCCATGGGTGTAACCTGACCAAATTTCTGAGCTGCCAGAACAAACTCCCCTGTATGGAAAAAGAGTTAAAAGGGAAAGATTCAAGGAATAGCCACTAAATGCAGCATTAACTCAAGGCGCTGGAGTGAGTGAACATCACAAAACTTTATTATCAGTCACAGAATTCAAGTAAACCCAAACAGGGCAAGAATTATTGCAATTCTTTCATTCGTCTGGAAGGTGTGTGCAGAATAGTTTCTCTAACATTGACTTTAAAAGCCTGATGTCTCATCGGAAGCCTTGGAATAAATGACACAGGACGTTATTCAAATTGCAGGTCCCAGAAAACAAGGAGGCCGATACGAAACTTCACATGCATCAGGCCTGGGAGGTTATATTAATGAAGCTGTGCAATTCCTAAGGCAATTCTCTTTTTTTAAAAACAAAAAACAAAAAAACATTAAAATGCTGATGTCTCGTTCTGAGGTTGTCACCAGTGTAAGTTTACGGAATTCCTCATGTACTTTTTTTGTTGTTGTTGTTACTGTTATTTTATTTTATTTATTTTTTTATTCTTATGTTAATCCCCATACATTACATCATTAGTTTTAGATGAAGTGTTCCATGATTCATTGTTTGTGCACAACACCCAGTGCTCCATGCAGAATGTGCCCTCCTCAATACCCACCACCAGGCTAACCCATCCTCCCACCCCCCTCCCCTCCAGAACCCTGTTTGTTTTTCAGAGTCCATCGTCTCTCATGGTTCGTCTACCCCTCCGATTTCCCCCGCTTCATTCTTCCCCTCCCGCTACCACCTTCTTTTTTTTTTTTCTTAACATATATTGCATTATTTGTTTCCTCATGTACTTCTGAAGGCCACTTTAGAGGCCACAGATTTAGCTCAGGTTTTAGCACGATTTGAAAACAGTTAAGAAATTTTACATGGTTCCCTAATTCAGAGGCTGTCTTCAGTTTATTTAAAACTTGCTGAAGATTGTTTTATTTGCTTTTGTTTGTCTGATCAAAGGATGGAGCACACACATGTACCATATGGTTAATACGTGTCAATGGGATAGAAAAATCTGTAACGTAATTTCCTGGTTGCCTTCTTTACCCTAATAATAATACACCAAGATACTAACAGGCAAAAATTCAGATTTATTCTCACTCACCCTTAGTCACCTCTACATCTTTCCTGTTGCCAGCCAGAGTGCTGTAGATCTTTCTAATGAGTTCCATGTTGTTAAGGAGTGAATTAAATCCATTAAAATAGGAGAAGCTAACTTGATGGGATGTAGTACCTCCAGCAGCCTCAAGTAAGTTGAACGTAAGAAAGGGGAGGAGAACAATAAACAAAGGATTTATAAAATGAAGAAGATTCAGAAGTACATATATCAAATGCTAGTTTTGGAAGTAATCAAGAACGCATGGATAAGAAGAAATGGCCATAAGTATTTTCTTTTCACATTAAAAAAAAAAAAAAGCTATAAATGAATTTTAAAAGTAACTGCAACTAATCATGACCAGAGCTTATACTCTCCACACACAAGTCCTAGAAAACTAAATAAATACATGTGTAGGATTATAACAACAGGACCAGTAGTAATTTACAGAGTTCAAATTTCAATTGGAAATGTTTTATAAGTTTGTTTATTTCATCTAATGAGCAATTCTGAGAGGCTTAGACATGCACAACTATACTATACACATGCACACATGTGTGTGCTTAGACATGTAAAACTATATTATACCAACCCAAACATAGTATGAAAGTGGTCAATCTAACATTAATATCATGATTTGTCATGTTACTTAGAACTAGCAATAAATAATCAGACTTTACACTGGTGGGATTTCTAGCAAACAAGCGTATTCCGGTAAAATTATGAGATGTCATATGCTTGGATGGGGGTTAAGACTGGTCAGAATACTGATAATCAGAATTTGTAAGAAGTCATATTTCTTCCCAGGGGGCAAGGGAAACAGATAGCACGGTCATTATGAATGGAACTTCAGTTTGGGGTTTCAAATTCTTTTTTTTAAAGATTTTATTTATTTATTTGACAGAGAGAGACACAGCGAGAGAGGGAACACAAGCAGGGGGAGCGGGAGAGGGAGAAGCAGGCTTCCCGTGGAGCAGGGAGCCCGATGTAGGGCTCGATCCCAGGACCCTGGGATCATGACCTGAGCCGAAGGCAGACGCTTAACCACTGAGCCACCCAGGCGCCCTGGGGTTTCAAATTCTATCCTTCCCTAACAAGGCAAAATATTTTTATTAGGAAAGCACTTCTTTATAAGGTAACAACCACATAAAACTTCACTTAGTAATCATTTAAAATAGCTGACCTAAGAGTTTAAAATGGAGTAGAGAAGGGCGGGGGAAGGCCAGAAAAGGAGCTAGACTAACACAGTGCAGAGTGGAAAAGGCCTTGTCAGACTTCCATGTCTCCCAAATGAGGAACCAGGAAATAAAGTGAAAGTGAAAAGCTATGCTGAGTTCCTGCCTATGGTAAGCATTGTGGGAAACCCAGAGCATGGTAAAAACACTCCAAAAGTCTTCTCCCTGGGACTAACAAAAGCACTGTGTAAGGGTTTCCAAATATGCATGATGATCAGAATTACCTGGGAAGCTTTAGAAAGGAGATTCTAGGACCTCACCACCTATAGGAGATAAATCCACAGGCCTGGAAGAAAATGTCATTATCTGTATTTTTAATATGCCTGGTCATTCTTATGCTTTGTGACCAAGGCCTGGGAACCTCCAGCACAGAATGTTCTGGGCCACCTTCTAGGTCCATGAGGTCAGAAGAATGGCTGGGCACCCACTGGGATTTAAGCTATGACACAGGCCAGCCGGGCCCCGCACATCACATGCGCCACTGTTCCTTCAATACACGCATGTTAAATGACCGAGTGAATTGAAGCTTTAGAGTTTCTCTTCTGCTGACCACTCAAAGAAATATATCTGCATGCACTATTTTTTTTTTTAATTTTGCCTTGATGAGAGTGAAGATTAGCATTTGACATACCCCAAAATATACAGCAAAATTAATATGAAACCATAAATTTGTTTTTCCTTTTTTAAAACCAGTTAATACATTTAAGATATTCCATATGATCCAGAAAACAAATTAACCTATCCCTAAAACTAGCCAAAATATACTGTCTGTAAGTTTAGTAATATATGGGATCACATTACAAAAATGTTAGTGTTTTAAACTGAAAAAACTCCACATAATTTTAAAGAATTGTTCTTATAATCCCTTATTTACTGAGCTTTTGCCAGGTAAAATAAACTGCTTCGTTAGGGCAAGTTACAACTTACAGCTACTAGACATTCTTCTACAAAAGGAGTCAAGACATGGGGGCGGATGGTGACCATGATGTCTCGGAAGTCAATGGCTGTAACTTTTCCGGTCCTGGCATTGTCCCTTTGCACAAAGGCTTGCTTTGCATGCTCCAATTGTATTTCCTACAAATAATGAAAGTGAAATAATTTGTGTTTCTGAATTACTTCAAAAGACTGCTCAATTTCAAATCAGGGTGAAGAAATATAGATCGTATCTTGATTTAACAAGCCTTACCAGCTTGTTAAATAACACCCTCAAGCTATCCTCTTCTTCCAAAGACAGAACTTTGCTCAGACCAGTGAACATGTCTCGGAAAATGCATTCCACCTTAAATCTCCTGCCCAGAGAAACCAAATCACTTCCGTGTTCTGCTAGAGTCCAAGGACACAAAGAAAATAAAAATTGGAATGAAGTTTGGTAGGCCCAAAAATATGGCCAAACCCAACTCAGGTGATGCAGACATCTACAGGGACATTAAGCTCTCTCCAAAGAAGAGACAAAAATTCTTACTGGTAACCTCGTACACAAACATGTGACATAGTAACAAACCGAAAAGGGTGCTTCTCCTCTGGAATATGCTGTTCCTCTAACATACGGTTTCTCAGGCTTTACACCATTGGTATTTTAGGTGGGTTAATCTTTTGTTATGGAGAGCTGTCCTGTGCATCCCTCCCCTCTCTCTTTGCACTAGATGATGGTAGCCCCTTTACCCCCAAGAGCACGACAATCAAGAATGTGTCTGGAGAGGGCCACAGGTCCTGAATGAGGACACTGCTCCAGAATGAGGAAGTGGATGGTATGTGGGTCAGCCGTGGCAAAACTGCAGCAGTACCACTGTTTTAATTCCTATGATCTAAAGACAGGAAGCCCAACTGAGATTTCAGTTGTGATTCACAGGGAGTTAGCGTATATGCAAAATAAACAGCCTCCCATCAAACTGTGTAGGAGAAGCATCTCTTGCAAAGAGCATTTCATTATCTTCCTCATGACCTTGCCCATTTCCCAAATGGGCCCTCAGAGGTCTAATCTCTATGGAATTAAAAAGCACTGCAAGGACTTCAAATTATTTAAACGAGAAAAGTTTAATTAGTTGATACAGAGAATTACTGCTTTTTTTTTCAACTTTGGCGAGACAATGACTTACAGTAGTGTAAAAACAAATCATCCCTATGAGGTGGCGCGAGCTAAAGCACAGCAGAAGTGACGCAAGCCTGATCATGCTTCAAAGTGCTCCATCTCCCTTCTCTTCCCCCAGAAAGGTGGGAGATGAAGGAAGCTTGATAAAATATTAATAATAATTGAAGTTGCATAATGGGAACACGGTGGGTCACAGTGTAATATACTTTGCTACTTTAGAAGAGTTTGAAAATTTTAAATTTAAAAAAAATTTTAAAAGACAATACCATAGTAAGAATCAGAGTTCTTATCCTATTCAAAAGCTTCTTCTCAGCCATAGCATCTGCCAGTTTTGATCCAGCCTGTCCCTGTCCCAAGGCTCTTCTGGGACCTTTATCTCCCTGGTGACTCTTCCACTTAAATGGGAGGCTTCTGTCAGCCCTCTGTCCTCAAGTCTCCTCACTCTACTCCCCTAGGCCTCAAAGATTTCTCAGAAGGCTTGAATCCCAGATCCAAATCTCACTTATCTGCTGGACCAGAATTCCTAAGTGCTCAGAGAATATATCCACGTGGGTATCTTGTAAAGGCCACACAATGGCACATCACTAAATCCAAGGAGCTACTCTCAGCCTGGTCTCCAGCACCCCATGCTCAGTCCTTCCAGACCTTCCACACACCCCGACCTTTGTCTGCATTCCTCCCTCCGCCTGGTGTAGACTGCAGCTTCTTTCTGTAGTTCCTGAAATCCTACCACTTTCCTCCAGGCTTATCTCAAATGCCACCACTTAAGTAAATGTAAGTAGGTCTCTTAGCTGAAAAGAACTGATGTGATCATGTGGCTCCCTGCTTGCACCTCAATCCGTAAGATTTCCATCTTACTTGAAGCAGTTGTTTCTATTCCTGTCTTTCCCCTACCTCGCCAGGGAAAGGAGACTATGTCCTATTCATCCCTCCACTGGTGTAGGCAGAATGCCTTAGATATACTAGGTACTCAATAAACCACAGACATCATCTTCAGTGACAGGTATTCTATAAAACCAATTGAATGAACAAATCACACTCTACTGAACGAGAAGGTGTTCTCTGTATAAGTGCCTCCAATTTAAGAGGAAGAAACCAACTGTTAAACACCCTGTAGTGAAAAATGACCACAGTATGTATTCAGTTGAAAGTAAATGAACACAGTCTCCTTCGAATTACCAGACCCACTGCTAAAGCTATTGTAAGGCAAGATTACTCTCAACAACAGTAGGTGTGTTCACTTAGTTATCATCCCCACCCCACCTCCCGCCCCCACAGTTTATAACTCAACTAGAGTCTTAGGGATCCACAGACCAGGATACCAGAAAAGGCATCACCCACCCTGGCCACCCCATTTCCTCAGAATTCCTGGCCCCCTCATGTCCTCAGAACACGAAGACCAACCTGTTCGGAATTTCAAATTGGGAAACAGACATCAAAGTGGGGGTGGGTGCTCACACGGCAGAGCAGGGGATGCATCTGTAATAGGGATGGTGTCACTAACCATTTCTGTGCCTACACTTCAGGATCCAACATTTACTAGTGGGGATCCCTCGATCGCAGAACATGAAAGCACTTTTAACTCTAATGATGAACAACTTTAGAATACATTTCCAACAGCTCTGAAAGACTGGGGACACCATAAATTCCATGAAAAACAAGAAGCTAACTGAACATCATTCTCTAAATAGTAGGATAGAGTGAAAACATTTAGTTAAGTGTTTCCTCAAACTAAAGGCAGTTTGCTGAAGAAGTGGGTTGCCTTGTGAAGAACAACTGTTTATGTCATGACTATTTAGTCTTCTGGGTGAAGAAATAAAGCTATTACCTTAACCAACACAACAACCATGTTAACAGCATTTAGTGAACATATATTATGCACCAGATACTGTTCTAAAGCATTTTACAGTTTAAACTCACTTCCTGCTCACAGCAACCCCATGAGCTGGGCACTATTATTAACTTTATTGTGGCAGTTGAGGAAACGAAGTCTCACAGGAAGCAGCGAAGCTGGAATGCAAACCCAGGCAGTTCTGCCCCCTGAGGATGCCCCTAACACTTCAGCACAGCACCTGGGGAGCCTGGGTCATGCGACCGTCAGGAATCTGATGACAAAATATATCTGACACTTAGGAATCTTAATAACTATGAAAAGACAAAAATTCAAGTGTGCTTTTTTTTTTTTTTAAAGATTTTATTTATTTATTTGACAGAGACAGAGATAGCGAGAGCAGGAACACAAGCAGCGGGAGTGGGAGAGGGAGAGCAGGCTTCCCGCAGAGCAGGGAGCCCGATGTGGGACTCGATCCCAGGACCCTGGGATCATGACCTGAGCCGAAGGCAGACGCTTAACGACTGAGCCACCCAGGCACCCTCAAGTGTGCTTTTAAATTATTCTTAATGCTCTAGATTTTTTGTTGTCTGTTTTCATGAGAAAACAGTAAAATTTGAGACTTTTTCCTTAAGGAAGATGTCTTTTATGTGCTCCAAGGGCTAGGACTGTTCTCCCAGCAAGAGTGGAGACCACGGAGAAGAGGAACCATATCTAAAGGTCTTCTGGCCTTGCTCACTTACAACCCCAAGAGACTGAGTAGAGAAAGACAAATAAGGAGGCCTTAGGGAGCCAACACATAGATACTCTATAAATACTTAAGTTGAGGGGTGCCTGGGTGGCTCAGTCGTTAAGCATCTGCCTTCGGCTCAGGTCATGATCTCCAGGTCCTGGGATCGAGCCCCACATTGGGCTCCCTGCTCAGCGGGAAGCCTGCTTCTCCTTCTCCCTCTGCCTCTCTCCCTGCTTGTGCTCTCCCTGTCTCTCTCTCTCTCAAATAAATAAATAAATCTTTAAAAAATAAATAAGTAAATACTTAAGTTGAGAATGAATGACTTTTGAAATAGATATTCAGGCTCGCTATTGATGGCAGAGTGACTGAAAATCAAAGCTCTTCACTGGCACCTCCAAAGCTGTTTAAGGAAAACCTAATGCATACCCATAGAGCCTAGACCCTGATGGTTTCTAGATCTGAACCCAAGGGGATAAAAGTGGGACAGAGAGCTTGGAGATGCACGATGTAGGGCTTAAGTAAAATAGTGATCGTTTCATGGGGCGCCTGGGTGGCTCAGATGGTTGGGCGTCTGCCTTCGGCTCAGGTCATGATCCCGGGGTCCTGGGATCGAGTCCCACATCGGGCTCCCTGCTCAGTGCAGAGCCTGCTTCTCCTTCTCCCTCTGCCATTCCCTCTGCTTGTGCTCTTCTATCTCTCTGTCAAATAAATAAATAAAATCTTAAAAAAAAAAAAAAAATAGTGATCGTTTCCAAAATGAGCAGAGGAGCAGAAAACAATGGGAGAAGCAAGAGTTACATTCAAATATTTAAAGGTTAAAGGACTACCAGGGACAAAAAAGAAGTTAGACTGGTCCTCTATATCTCTTTAAAAAAAAAAAAAAAATGGAGAAAAAAATATAGGGATCAGGTTTTAGCATAAAACACCAAAGTCTTTAACCTATACAACTCTTCAGCAATGAATCAGGCTACACCGCAAAGTAGCAGGTTCCTAGTCACTGGCAATATCTGAGCAACAACAGGCTAAGGAACATATGTCAAGGAACCTCTTTATTTTAATACAGGGAGTTATGGAAGCAATCTGTTATGATGACAAACATCTGAAGTTTGGAACAGGAATGAGCAGAGCTCAAATATCAATCATGACACTCCTAGGAGGATTAGGGGAGTATATATCTTACAGCCCCTGCAACATCGACCGTGGAGGGTTGTAAAAACGAGACGTCATGCATGACAGGCACTTACTAAGTGGGAACTTTGATTTTTGTTGAGGTGAATGGTTTAAAATCCTCTAAAGACCCTTTCAGTGTTAGGTTCTTTGAGTCTTTAAAAAATCACCTCATAAGGAACAGTGGCTCTGCTGAGTCATTCTGAACCAGCCACAGAAACAGAGAGATGAAGACCAGATTGGGTAGAGAACAC